TGGTCATGAGAACTCCAACTACTGGCCTCTGAAATCCATTCAAGAAATTTTTCCTTTTAGAAATGTTAAGTGTTCATTATATATATATATTCCAGACCAGGGTCCCTTCTGAGAATGACACTACAGAATCATCAGAAGGCCAAAAGGATCACAGCCTCTAGAAATCTGACATGGTGAGCGGCAGACACCAGCAGGCTCTCAGGGCTTTGGGTCATGGTGAGGTGTGTGCCCTGTGACCAGCAGGGGGGCGGAGTGGGACTATCCTATGTTCCTTAAGCCCCTCATTACTGAGAACCATTTAAAGGAGTCTGGGCCTGGGGACCTGGCACAGTGCTCCCTGACAGGAGTTATTAGCTTTTTCCCCTCTAGCCTGCAGAGTCCCCTGAGCAGGGACCTGTATGTTCTCTCAGCAGGTGCTTCCTCCCAGGACTCTCACCAGGGCTGAGTCCAACCTCCATCCTCCTCAGTGTGGTGTGTGAGCTGGGCTCCAGCACCAGGGCTCAGGAAAGGGCTGGGTTGTCATTGGGTGGGACCTATTTCCATGGACTGCACCTCCTGTGGTAGAGATGGGAGAAGAAAAAGAGGCCTGGGGCAGCCCATCTCAGTGTGGCAACCAGGGGCTGTGTCACCATGGCCTGGACTCCTGTCCTTTTCATTCTCCTAACTGTACAGAAGGCACAGGATTCAGGAGCATAGGATTTCCCTGCAGCCTGTGTCAGCCACTCTGTCTTAGATGCTCCAGGAAATTTACCTTGATCCCTCTTCCACATTACCCATGAGTGTCTGTACTTGCAGGTTCCCCGTCCCTAACTGTGCTAACCCAGCCGCCCTCCCTCTCTGCATCCCTGGGATCATCAGCCAGACTCACCTGCATCCTGAACAGTGGCTTCAGTGTCAGAAGCTACTACATGTACTGGTTACATCAGAAGCCAGGGAGCTCTCCCAGGTATCTGATGAGGTTCTACACAGACTCAGATAAGCACCAGGGCTCCAGGGTCCACAGCCATTCCCTGGCTCCAAAGATGCCTTGGCCAATGCAGGGCTTCTGCTACCTCTGGGCTGCGAACTGAGGACGAGGCTGATGATTACAGTTCTACAGCTCATGGTGGTGGGGGCTGCTACCTTTAGTCACAGTGTGTCAGATAAGGAGGAAGTGAGTCATAAATCCCTATGCACACAGATAAGGGCTGTGAGCATTTTTTCATTGAGAAACTTACTTGGAGAAACATGCCTTGGAGGGAGAGGGGATTCTGATGAAAGATTTGTCCTTGAACAAGGGAAACACTCATGTTTGAATGTAAAATAAGAGAAAATAGGGTATCCAAGGAACATCCTGCTGGATTAGGTAAAATAATCTATTTGTACATCCCCACGGGGTCTGGAGAATGACTATATTTTGCCCAGCAAACATTGTCCACAATCAGATTCACCTTCTTATTCCATAAAGTGTGACTTTGTGTCACTACTGATGTATCCACAGCTGATATACTGACAATAACTCTGGTCACGTAGTCTGATTTCTTTGAACCAGCTACAAATTAATTTGGACCAGATCCTACAGACTCTCCATAATAACACCCCCACACCCTCCTCTTCTCCTCTCTGCTCCTCTGTGCCTCAGGCCTTCAGGCTCTGCCTCTGACTTTTGAGGTCTGATTTCTCAATCTACACCTGATGTCAGAGAAAACAGAAAATGATCTTGCTCTAGTTTCTTGTCTCAGTGTTCTATCTCTAGGGAGAAGAATGGCCAGAAAATAGAACTACATGTGATCCCTCATATTCTTCTTCCTGCTTTCAACTCCAGGCTCTAGGTTTCTTCTCTCAACATTCCTAATGAGTCTCTTTAATATGAAAGTAAAATTAATACGTTTTTCAAAAAGTGATGTGTTCACTCTCCCTTGCAGTATTTGCACATAGAATCTATTGATTGTTGCTCCTCTTTCACAATTAATTGATCCCCTATCCATGATTAGGATTGACAGAATCCATGAAGGCAGTCACCTGCAAATTTCAAAATATATAATTGTTTTTATTATTCCCCAAATCTTTTTCCTAAGATTTAAGAAGTAGATCAACGACAGATACATTTTCCTCCTGTTTCTGATGTCATAGGCTTTAGCCCTTTCCCAGAAATAAAAGTCAGGGCTATCTTCTATTCAACCCTACTAGGCACCTGGGGACACAGAGGACTGTGGAGCACAGTGGAGGCTAGGGTCAGTAAGGAGGTCTTTGTGCTTACCCCCTTGCCCTGTGTTTCTTGAGACCTGAAGAACCTGAGACCTTATGTCTGCAGGGTGTAAACATTCATATTTCTCATTCCTCAACAAGACTGAGTTCTAATTCAGTGAAATGTTAACAGTTCTGCTCTCAATTGAGTCCTCACTGCCTGAAACAGATCTTCCTCTAGGAAGAGGTCTTTGAGACCCTTGACTTTTCATTGAGGAGCCTCCAAGTTTAAGAGAGAATGAGCTTCATGAATATATTTTCATGGAAAACTATCCCTCAAGGTGTAGAGAAGATATTAGAAGGTTAGAGGCCACTTGGTGTAATTTTTTTTAACAGATTTTATTTATTTATTTGACATACAGAGATCACAAGTAGGCAGAGAGACAGGCAGACAGAGAGAGGAGGAAGCAGGCTCCCCATTGAACAGAGAGCCCTATGAGGGGCTCGATCCCAGAACCCTGGGATCATGACCCGAGCCAAAGGCAGAGGCTTTAACCCACTAAGCCACCCAGGCACCCCCACTTGGTGTCATTTTTTATGACACACACACCCACACCCACACACACCCTCTCTCTGAGAGTATAGTGTCCTGTATTCTGCAGTCTCTAGGCTTCTCTGTCCGTCCAACCTGTTCTCACCCAGCCAACCTCAATATCACAATCTCCCAGAAGTAGAATCCCCATTAGCAGGAAATGCCCAGAAACATGAGTATGACTGGGGTCCTGCCACCAGAGCAGCCAAGAAGTGCCCTGGAAACAGGCATTCCTGGAACAAGGCTGATGCTCAGGAATCCTAGGGGAGTCTTTGTCCCTATGGGCAGCTCAGCCCTCAACTACATCTGGGCTCAAGTCAGTGATTGTGTCTTATCAGCACACTGATTCTGGGATAGTAGCCTCAGTGCAGCTCCCATGGAGCTCAAAGCCCATGGGGACACGAGACATATCCTCCTTGTGCTCTCAGTGCTGGGCTTCATTCCCTCAGTCACCCCAGCAATACCTCAAGCCAGGCTGGACCTTTGCTGAGACATCTGTCCCAACTGAGGGTCACAGGGCGTGTGATCTCAGGTACACAGTCTCTCTTATCTCCACCTCACCAGGAATCACATGTGGGATCTTTGAAAAGAATTCTGGATCAAATTGGCCTTGGGTAATAGAAATTCATTGCTATAGTCATGGGTGGCTGAACGGACAATTGCCTTATTCTGAATATGTTGGAAATAAGACACAGGAACTATAGCTCTGCCCACCCCTGAAAGAATTTGACCCTTAATGAGCCCATCCTTGAAGTTCCATGATTGGCAATTCCATGACTGAGATGGCCCTCAAGTTCATAGGAACAAGCTCCTCATGAGTTTTCCCTGGGTACCGTGTGATGCTTTCCTACTTCTACTTGTAGAACAAGAACAACTATACAAAATTCATGATTAAATAATAATAGCCACCACCACAGCAACAACGATCACCACAATAACAAATTAAATCACTTAGAAACAAGTTTGCCCTTGGTTCAACCAAGAATGAGAAGGCATTTCTCTCTCATTATTCTTTTCATCCAGGTTTTCAACTACTACTTCCATCCACATTTTCCCTGTAATAAGCATAGATCTGTGAATGGTATACTAGTGACTGTACCTTTATTTTCCCATTGATATTGTCATTGAGTTTACATCATTTTTATTGAGTTGAATTTTATATAAAATCACACACATTTATTTTAAGTTAACAGTTGTCTAATTGGTGACTAAAATATAATCTCTGAAACTAGGTTCCTCTCAGAGCATCTGCAGCTGTCACTCCTCCTAGAATTTCCTGCTGGTTTGCACTTTGTTCTCTGAGGTCAGTGCCACACAAAGACTCATATGACAGGGACTCTGGAGAGTAGGGTTTGTGTGCTGGGAGAACAGAACCTAGCAGGGAATCACTGCCCCAGTATGTTGTTCTGTTTTTGTTTTTAAATTTTTTCATGGAGGTGGATATAGTGACAGATGAGATGTCCAGTGTGTAAACCTCTAGGAATGAACATGAGAGCTTCTACCCATAACCTGGAGAGAAGTGTTCCCTCTCTCCTCTGTGTGGAGGGAACTTCTGGAAAAGGAAAAATCTGGAAACCAGAGAAGAATTAGGTAAGAGGAAATCAGCCTCCTTCACAGATTTGGCCATGTGTCAGTGTTGACTTAGGATCAGCTCTGGACCTGATCCTCATTTATGTGGTTCTATAAGACTTACCATCTCAGTCCTGCTGCTTGGACAGCCAAGGGATCTGTGGACACACTCACTATATGGATCCTGAGTACAGCAAAAGTGTGTTCTGAGGTGACAGGAGGTCACAGAAGCGGACACATGGCCTGGCCCTTAGGAAGGAAGAAAGGTGGCAGTGGACAGTGAAGTGGGGAGGCAGCTTAGGCCAATGGTGTCATCATGTCACACGATGCTGTCTGGGCCTGGACGCCAGGGGGCGCAAGTCACTTGATTCTGAGAGTCAAGGGTTAACCAGAGCAGGGACCTGCCACCTGGCATAGCCTGTGCCCTCTGCTCAGAGCCCACAGCTGTGACCTCCCCACCCCCTGGTACCACATAGACCCTCCCCTACCCACCTCATTGACATCCTCATACAGATTGATCTGACCCAGAGTCAGTGAGGGTTCAGAGAGTTAGGGTCTCATTTGCATGGAAAGGACCTCCCTCCCTCACAGGATGAAGAGGGGAAGGGAGAGATTAGAAGAGGTCTGCTCAGCTGTGGGGCCATAGAAGGCAGGATCAGTGATGACCTCCACCATGGCCTGGGTACACCTGCTCCTCAGTCTCCTCGCTCACTGCACAGGTGATTGGATGCAGGGACAAGGGAAGGGGTCCTGGGAGGTTAAGTGGGGCCTGAATCCTTCTCTTGTCTCTAGACTATAGCATCATCACTCTCTCTGTGTCTCTCCCCCTTCCAGGGTCCTGGGCCCAGTCTGTGCTGACTCAGCCACCCTCAGTGTCGGGGGCCCTGGGTCAGACAGTTACCATCTCCTGCTCTGGAAGCACAACTAGCTTTGATATTATTGGTGTGAAGTGGTATAAGCAGCTTCCGGGAAATCCCCCTAAACTTCTCATATATGGTAATAACAAGAGACCCTCAGGTATTCCTGACCGATTCTCTGGTTCCAAGTCTGGAAGCTCAGGTTCTCTGACCGTCACTGGGCTCCAGGCTGAAGATGAGGCTGATTATTATTGCCAGTCTGTTGATTTTAGTTTCAGTACTCACAAGGTACTCCGGGCCTGTGGGGAAGTGAGACAGAAATGTACTGTCCCCACATCAATGGGACTGCCTGTGCAGTCTTGACTTTTTGGCCAAATCATCTGCTTCTCTATTTGATATAAACTGAATCTGAGACCTGTCTCAAGGTTATTTATCTGCATAGCCTTTCCACATTCTTTTAAATTTCTCCTTGACGACTGGTCTTGGGAGCAAGATAATCTATGATTTCCTCAACTTGGGCAAAAATTCCTGGGTCTCAGGGGCAGCTACCCTGAGGCAGAGTCCATGATAGGTCAGAGCAGAAACAGGGACACAGAATCCAGCTCTGTCTGAGGCAGGACACATCGAGACTGTCCAAAATATGTCCTGGTATCAACAGCTCCCATGAATGGTAAACACATCTTCATCCACTTTGATGATTAGACCCTCTGGGGACCCTGATTCATTCTCCTGCTCCATGTCTAATAGTTCTGTCTACCAGACCATCACTGAACTGAGGTCTGAGGATGAGGCTGCTCCTCGCTGCCCCTCCTCTGCCAGCATGTCAGGGCTCACACAGAATCCCAGGCCCTAGAGAACTTAGATCAAAAACGCTTTCTGATCTTCTGGGATGGAGGAGGCCCCAGCAGCTGCTAAGGCTCTGCCTGTGGCTTCTGCTTCTGCTGCTCCTGCTGCCGCCACAATGGGGTCAGGTTCATGCAGGAACAACACCTGAGAATGAGGGCTCCTCCTTCCCTTTGACCTCAAAGACACTCACTGCCACCCTTCCTAGGCAAAGGATCTCATAGGATACAGAATGTTCATCTACCCCATCAGGTTGGGACACAGGGACTGTTTGCATTAAAGTTTAGGGACAGGGGGTGGCAGGTCCAGAGTGCTGATCTCTCTCCTCGGTTCTAAACACTCTCTTGAGTCACTTACCTATTTCTAGAAGTTTTCAGACTTATGTAATCTTCTCTTCAGTCTTCCATAGGAATGCCTGCTCTTTTGCTCATTGAGGTACTTTCTTCTGGCACTGCTGCACCAGCCTGGGAGTATCTATGGCTGAACCATATATTTTGGTGTTTTGAAATAACTCCATGTCCATTCCCATCAATGTTGAGATCTAACCAGTATTTTTTCTTATTCACTTGCATTGTCTACTACTTGCAAAAAGATGTTGAATAATAACATTTAGGCCACATTTCCCTGTTCCTGAACTTACAGAAATGTCCTCCCTACAGTCACCCCATTAGCTATTTTCCTGACTGTGGGAATGAGTTCTATGTGCGTGGGAGATAGTGTGTTATCACAGCATGAGTGTCTCTATTTTATCTGCTTTTTATTAGGCTTTTTATTTCAGTTTAGTCAAAGGATCTTTCAAGGTCTAGTGAGATCATGCTATTTTCAATGGGGATTTATTAGTATGGTATGTATCATTTATCAATATGGAATCCCACTCTATATCTGCAATAAATTACTATGGTCACAGTGTATGAATATATTAATCTGATATTGGAATATGCTGACATTTTATTTAGGGCATTTGTATCAATATTTCATAATATTCTGCAATATTCCTTTCTCTGTAATTTATGTATTGAGTGTATGTAACAATATAATATTTCTTCCTATAAGAATTTAAATTTTCCATGTTTTTCAATGTTTTCTATATATGGCATTTATATATATGAAGAAAACTGATGAAACTAGTCTCTGAAGACTTGTAAGTGATTCTTGTAAAGCTAATGCATCCTATGCTATTTTGAGGCATAGTTCTTTTTTTTAATATTGTATGTATGTATGTATGTATGTATGTATTTATTTATTTATTTATTTATTTTCAGCATAACAGTAGTCCTTGTTTTTGCACCACACCCAGTGCTCCATGCAATCCGTGCCTTCTCTAATACCCATCACCTGGTTCCCCCAACCTCCCACCCCCTGACGCTTCAAACCCCTCAGATTGTTTTTCAGAGTCCATAGTCTCTCATTGTTAACCTCCCCTTCCAATTTCCCTCAACTCCCTTCTCCTCTATAACTCCCCTTGTCCTCCATGCTATTTGTTATGCTCCACAAATAAGTGAAACCATATGATAATTGACTCTCTCTGCTTGACTTATTTCACTCAGCATAATCTCTTCCAGTCCCGTTCATGTTGCTACAAAAGTTGGGTATTCATCCTTTCTGATGGAGGCATAATACTCCATAGTGTATACGGACCACATCTTCCTTATCCATTCGTACATTGAAGGGCATCTTGGTTCTTTCCACAGTTTGGCAACTGTGGCCATTGCTGCTATGAACATTGGGGTACAGATGGCCCTTCTTTTCACTACATCTGTATCTTTGGGGTAAATACTCAGTAGTGCAATTGCAGGGTCACAGGGAAGCTCTATGTTTAATTTCTTGAGGAATCTCCACACTGTTCTCCAAAGTGGCTGCACCAACTTGCATTCCCACCAACAGTGTAAGAGGGTTTCCCTTTCTCCACATCCCCTCTAACACAGGTTGTTTCCTGTCTTGCTAATTTTGGCCATTCTAACTGGTGTAAGGTGGTATCACAATGTGGTTTTAATTTGAATCTCCCTGATGTCTAGTGAGGATGAACATTTTTTCATGTGTCTGATAGCCATTTGTATGTCTTCATTGGAGAAGTGTCTGTTCATATCTTCTGCCCATTTTTGGATATGATTATCTGTTTTGTGTGTGTTGAATTTGAGGAGTTCTTTATAGATCCTGGATATCAACCTTTTGTCTGTAGTGTCATTTGCAAATATCTTCTCCCATTCCGTGGGTTGCCTCTTTGTTTTCTTGACTGTTTCCTTTGCTGTGCAGAAGCTTTTGATTTTGATGAAGTCCCAAAACTTTATTTTCGCTTTTGTTTCCTTTGCCTTTGGAGTCATATCTTGAAAGAAGTTGCTGTGGCTGATATCGCAGAGGTTACTGCCTATGTTCTCCTCTAGGATTCTGATGGATTCCTGTGTCACGTTGAGGTCTTTTATCCATTTTGAGTTTATCTTTGTGTATGGTGTAAGAGAATGGTCGAGTTTCATTCTTCTACATATAGCTGTCCAGTTTTCCCAGCACCATTTATTGAAGAGACTGTCTTTTTTCCACTGTATATTTTTTCCTGTTTTGTCGAAGATTATTTGACCATAGAGTTGAGGGTCTATATCTGGGCTCTCTACTCTCTTCCACCTGTCTATGTGTCTGTTTTTATGCCAGTACCATGCTGTCTTGGTGATCACAGCTTTGTAGTAAAGCTTGAAATCAGGTAATGTGATGCCCCCAGTTTTATTTTTGTTTTTCAACATTTCCTTAGCGATTCACGGTCTCTTCTGTTTCCATACAAATTTTAGGATTATTTGCTCCAACTCTTTGAAGGATACCAGTGGAATTTTGATCGGAATGGCATTAAGTATAGATTGCTCTAGGCAGTATAGACATTTTAACAATATTTATTCTTCTGATCCAAGAGCATGGAATGGTCTTCCATCTTTTTGTGTCTTCTTCAATTTCTTTCATGAGTGTTCTGTAGTTCCTTGAGTACTGATCCTTTACCTCTTTGGTTAGGTTTATTCCCAGGTATCTTATGGTTCTTGGTGCTATAGTAAATAAAATCAATTCTCTAATTTCCATTTCTGTATTTTCATTGTTAGTGTATAAGAAAGCCACAGATTTCTGTACATTGAGTTTGTATCCTGCCATGTTGCTGAAATGCTGTATGAGTTCTAATAGTTTGGGGGTGGAGTCTTTGCGTTGTCCATATAAAGAATCATGTCATCTGCAAAGAGAGAGAGTTTGACTTCTTCCTTGTGAATTTGGATACCTTTTATTTCTCTTTGTTGTCTGATTGCTGTTGCTAGGACTTCTAATACTATGTTGAACAGGAGTGGAGAGAGTGGGCATCCTTGTCGTGTTCCTGATCTCAATGGGAAGGCTGCAAGCTTTTTCCGATTGAGGATGATATTTGCTGTGGGTCTTTCATAGATAGATTTTATCAAGTTCAGGAATGTTCCCTCTATCCCTATACTTTGAAGCATTTTAATCAGGAAAGGATGCTGGATTTTTCAAATGCTTTTTCTGCATCAATTGAGAGGACCATGTGGTTCTTCTCTCTTCTCATATTAATTTGTTCTATCACATTGATTGATTTGCGAATGTTGAACCATCCTTGTAGCCCAGGAATGAATCCCACCTGGTTATGGTGGATAATCTTTTTAATGTGCTGTTGGATCCTGTTTGCTAGGATCTTGTTGAGAATCTTAGCATCCATATTCATCAGTGATATTGGCCTGAAATTCTCCTTTTTGGTAGGGTCTTTGCCTGGTTTGGGGATCACGGTAATGCTGGCTCCATAGAACGAGTCTGGAAGTTTTCCTTCTGCTTCCATTTTTTGAAATAGCTTCAGGAGAATAGGTGTTATTTCTTCTTTGAAAAGTTTGGTAGAATTCCCCAGGGAATCCATCAGGTCCTGGGCTCTTGTTTTTTGGGAGGTCTTTGATCACTGCTTCAATCTCGTTACTAGATATCGGTCTATTCAGGTTGTCAATTTCTTCCTGGTTCAATTTTGGGAGTTAATAGTTTTCCAGGAGTGCATCCATTTCATCTAGGTTGCTTAGCTTATTGGCATATAACTGTTGATAATAACTTCTGATGATTGTTTCTACTTCCTTGGTTTTAGTTGTGATCTCTCCCTTTTCATTCATAATTTTATGAATTTGGGCTTTCTCTCTTTTCTTTTGGATTAGTGTGGCCAATGGTTTATCGATCTTATTGTTTCTTTCAAAGAACCAGCTTCTAGTTTCATTGATACGTTCTACTGTATCTCTGCTTTCTACTTCATTGATCTCAGCTCTAATCTTGATTATTTCCCTTCTTATGTGTGGAGTTGGTTTGATTTTTTGTTGATTCTCCAGTTCTTTAAGGTGTAGAGACAGCTGCTGTGTTCTGGATTTTTCAATTTTATTGAGGGAGGATTGGATGGCTACGTATTTCCCCTTTAGGACTGCCTTT